TTAGTTGGCTGTGTAGCAGGAATATTATGGGTCAAAGTATGGTTTCTAGTATCTTTTTTGAAATAATGCAAAAGGATTAAGGATAACCCCACTGCTAATTTCATCTACCCCAAGTTGGGAACCACTGGTTTACATCCCCTGCTTTTCCTCCCTAAATCAAGTATTAACATAATACAATAATTCATGTTTAACAAACAAGGAATCAATAACAAAATTTACTACTGATATATAGATAAACTGCAACACTCGTTCTGTGAAATAAAAACATAACGACATGGATTTCAAGGAATCTCTTTAGAAATTACACAATTATGATATCCAGTATATCTTTCTATCATCTTCAAATCACACAAATATGTGAAAAAATCCTCAATTCCCCTGTGAGGTAGGTCCAGATTATTGTCCCCACTTCAGCAATGAGGACATGAGGTACAGAGGAATTAAGCAGCAGAGCTAAGAATTAAACTAGAAGTGACTTGGGTTTGAATTCCACACCATTTCCCTTTCTACCAAATTTTATCAATTTGTTCCAAAAGATCTTTTTGAAAGTGTGGAACTTGATAAGACACTGAAGCAAATGTTGGATAGGATGTGAAACTCTTCACATTAAAACTTCAGAGTGGATCCTTCCATATCTCCATTGTTGTCACAGCTATAATTCTTGCCTGGATACCAACTGCACTGTGAGATTTCACATAGGCAAAGCTCAGAGACCTCAGACCTCAGTTACTAGGGAATCTACATTCACTTTTATCATCGAGGTGGACTAAGGTCTAGCAGGCATCAGGTTCTTTGAGCCTGTATGATATTAACACACATCAACTACCAGCCAGCAAGCAAACTGAACTTTTACTGTGTGCAAGGCACTGCGAGAGTTTCCACAAAGGGTAGTAGGTCTGAAAATAATCATTCTGAGATTCTGTAGAATAAAACTTTCCTGTGAAATTCTAGAATCTCAGAATGTTAGATAATCTCTAATTTTCTGTCCATTTCTAGGTTCAACCCCATAATTTTACAGACAAAAACACTGACATGCTATTTAAGTTAACTGCCTAGAGTCCACAATATTAGATCATTACTTCATATAGTATGAGTTTGACAAAGTCCACAGAAAATGGAATGTATTCTCAGGTTGCCATCATCAAAATAAAAAGGCTGGCTCAGAATCAGGTAAGGGAAATTAGGGAAAGATAGAGATATATCTATAAATATATACCTATATCTATTTATAAATATATTTATATATTTATAAATATATAAATTTATAAATAGATATAGATATCTTTATAGATGTATCCCTTTTTAGCCCACATATTACATGAACAGGTATTAGTAAACCTATTCCTTTTACTGAAAATTCTAATAGTTTACCACTTAAGGGAACTTGAATAACTTGAAAATTGTTTTGCAGAATAGATTTTACTTTAAAAGCAGACTTTTAAAGGAATAAGAGGACCCAATTTTAATGAATTTGAGCACTTATAATCAAATTAGCAAAAGGTATTTCCACTATGTGAATCTTCTCCCATTAGTCAAATGAATATAATTTATATATCTTGCTAGACCAATATATTAAATTCTAATGAAATATTGTTTGGGGTTTTATGTTCAAGTAGTAAGGTTTAATTTTTTTAAAGAGGTGGCTTATCTGTAAACAAAATTATAATGCTAATGATTTTTTAAAGCTCTCATACATTTGAAAAACCCTATTTGTTCAAAGCTTACAAATGTTACTGAACTTTACTCAAATTATCAAAAACCACAAATAAATTTCATTAAAATGGCAGAGTGATAAAAATTAACATGATTTAATTTCTCAGACATTAGTGTTTACAAGTCATAAGAGTATGGACATTAAATACTTAAGTGGGCTTTGGTAGGGTTTCAGTCAAAAACCACTGTCCTTCCAAAACCATGTTAAATTACATGTTTACTAGTATTAAAATTATACAAATTTTTAAGTGACTGATAGTCCTCTTCTGTAATATTTTGTCATTAATATATCATATGATTGGAGGAAAACAAGGAAACAGAGTGTTTAATAAATAAAGGAAACTCAATATGTCTTATACCTACTCGAAAGAACAATTTCTAATCTAATGATCTACTAATTCATTCACTCTGCTTCCTTACACATTATCTTTCTTCAGAAAAAGACAAGGCACTTTTCCACTTTTAAAATTTGACTACTCGCTCCTAAATTAACATGGGGACAAGAAGGGAACAAAGTGAAGAGGACATGTCTGTAATGGAGTTAATACATCTATAAATAATACTTGTCTATATTTTTATCAATACCACATATGCTCTTGGCTTTTTGGATGAGCTTTAAAATTATCAATTCAATCAATTTGTTAGGACAGAATCTTTGACCAAACAAGAAGCATTGGAAAATGAATTTTAAAGAACTATTTTAACTTGTAACTTTAATACCTACTGAGATTTATATACTTTGGCAAATACATGTCATTTTTCTCTGGAAACCACCATGGAAGATTTCATAAAGGAATATTATACAACAAAGAAATTCAAAATTACTTTTTTCAATTGAAAAACAACTTCCACAAAACATTTTACTAACCCAATGGAAAAATACAACTATGCTCTATCCTGAGGATAAAAATAAAAGCCTCAGTGGGGGAGGAATTAATCACCACAGTGTACTCTTGTCATTTCAGTATTCACTGATGCCAATCTCATTAAAAAGAAAACAACTCCCCCCAACACTCCAAAATACCCAATTGCTAATCAGCCTCCTACAAGGGAAAACAGTTTGAAAAAACCATCACAGGAGAGAGAAAGTGATAGAAAAAAGAAAATAGAATTGGGTGTTTTCTGGGTAGTTTAAGAAACTAAGATTGATTAACCAGAACAATGAAAACTAAAAAAAAAAATTAAGAGTGACTGGTTAAAATTAAAATTACACATTCTGTCAAATTGTTTTTATGACAAATACAATTGTGTCTTGAATTCTATGTTCTGTTACCTCCAGACACACTATTGTTAATATCTGTTTCATGGAAACAATTCACCACTTCCTGTTCTTTAAACAAAACCAAGTATGATTTATACATGGCAGAAAAAGTTACTATGATAACCATATGTTCAAATTCTAAGGTTACAGGAAAAATAAGATTATAAGGGTTGACATTTAAAAACAATTATTCTATCAGTGATAATTAGAAATTGTATATTATGCTGGCAATCAGTTTTGGTATTAAAATGTCACAGTCTGAAGCATAATTTTAATGACATTAGCTGGAACATAAACCACAGATACAATTTTTCCCTGATCTTAACTAGAAAACAAGACAGTGGGTATGTATTTTCAGAGGTTTCCACCATTTCTATAAAAATACACCTTCAATTTTGCAGCAGGCAGACACATGATATTTGCAGGCATACATAATATATTAAAAGAGAACTGGGGTGGCTGGGTGGCATGGGGATAATGGAACTCCAGAGTCTTTTTGCAAACAATCATAATCTCCCATCACATAGTGTCTCTTTTTTTCTTTTTCTAATGGTCAAGGACTGTGAACTTCAAATTAGGAATGCATTTTAAAAGTAGCCTAAAAAGGTTTCACCTTATGTGAAGAAATGATTGTTCTCTTCACTGGGATGAATACTTGCCTAAAAAAGCTTACTAAAAGCAGCAAGATTGTAAGATGACAAATAGAATATTATTCAATCCCAGACACTTTAAATTTATCTTTAGCACTATGAATTACAAATAATGCCTAGACACAGGCAAACATCCATCTTTTACTTGAAGTGATACAAAGCTTTTGTTACACTAAAATTCAAACTTAGTAGAAGAGGAGTGGTATTGTCATTTTAATTGTGAAGAGAAATAGCGCACATACCAATCAAATGGTTGGCTACTTGGGTGGTAAATGTACCAACTAAAATACTTTTGTATTAATAATTTCCAAATGTTTAAAAAAAATCCTCAAAAAGAGGATTAAAAGTATTTTATTAACCATGATTCAGCCACTCCATATTATTTTGGTGTAACTTAAGTAGCTCTGTTTCCCAAAACAGACTATCTGAATTCCAGATAAAGGTTAGCAGTAGCTTTCATGGGACTCTAGATTACCTCCCAAGACAAGTAAAATCTCAAGATAACTTCTTAAAAGTCAAAATTGTGTGTATTTTCAAAGGAAAGGCAATATTCAAAGGGAAAGAAATGAAGGACAGTGAGGCTGTGAAATTGCCAGATGTCAAATAAATTTTTGGGGGGTGGGGGTGGAGTTCAAAACAGGAAATACTGAATTAAATGGCAAAAAAATAAGGTTCTTGGGTTTGGATGCAATGCACAATATCTGAGATAATGACTTCAATTTTAATCCACTTGTTACATTGGGCAACCCTGCCCTACACCTGAAATTTTAACATGTTTATTATGGCTTTGCCATAAAACAGCATGTTAACATCTCTACATTCAAAAGGATGCTTGCAAAGGACATTCATATTAAAATCTATGCGAATTGTTGGCAATACAATAAGAGCAATATTACATTCTGTAAACCATGGCATAACACATTTTACATTATGCAAAGAGACAATATTTACAAGTCTTTAGGAGTTTAAATATTTTATCCACTAACATAAGTGATACTTTAGCAAAGTGCAGGACAAACCATTGCTATTAATTGCATGTTCTTTAAAAGCAGAGTAAAACCATTTCTAAAAGCTACCAAAAGCTTATTTAAGTGTGTCCAGTAAGGGATTACAGAGCATTAAGTAGCCTAAAAAATGATGCATATTTAGAAACAGTGAGTATGAAAATTATAAGGCAGCATGCTCAAAACAAGGTTTTTGTTTTTTGAACACCAGCACTGATGTTTTACTTTTAGTGGCAACTGTGTGTGTACATATGTATATGTGTATTTATTTGAAAACTGAGAGTGCAAAACACAAGCCTCATTTAACAACAAAAAAATGTGCAAATTATATTCTTAAACCAACAAAATAAAAGAGTGAGGAGAATACTCTACCATTATAAAGAATAACTTGAACACAGCGAAGGAGACCATCTTCATTCCATAATCATCTACAAGGCACTAAGGGTAGGAAATGACAGGAAACACAGAAGTGACTGAATAAAACTCCTCAGTCAGGTCGGAATATGGGATATTTTGGTAAGAATTCTATTAGTATAACCTGCAAAATAAAAACAAACAAGAATATGTTGACAAAAGTTTTTAAATTAATATAACATATATATAACCCAGAAAAGCTTATACTCATTGTCACACGACTATCTTTTGATCCTATATTATAAAAAGTAAGGGAAATACATAAAACAGTTATGTAAATAACTTACCATAAGTTGTGATTAGATTGGGGATTCAAAAATTAAACAGGTAAACAAAATTACTTCCTGTAGCTAACAGTTGTTATTACCTGATTTACAATAAATATTCCTTTGGGGGAAGAGAAGCTAAACCTATTACTTATCATATGCTCCTTTCACCTGTATTTTAAAAATCAAAGTAGAAAGAATTAAAACTGTTGTACAGATTACAAAAAAATTATTATGCTTGTGTATTTTTCCATCAAAGCATTAGTTGAGGATTACTATCTTTTGCAAGTTATATGTGAAAAATATGAGCATCCAAATGGATTGACTAAAATAGTTTATTCACAGGAAGGTTCAGAAATATAATAATAAAAACAAGATATTTTTGAAGGTTATATCAATAATAGATTTTAGTTTTGTGGTCATTTTCACATTTTTCTAAAAACTATTCAAAGTGAAGAGATACTATAATAATCCTTGTTTATGAGATGCAAATTGATGTTTATTATTAAATATATATTGCATGTCAGAAGCCTCAAGCTAGGATAAATTTAATATTTTTAATGTTAATAATGCTGAATTGATCATATTAGCTATATGTGATTTTTATGTTATGACCAAGGTTGCATAGCTTTCAGTAAGAAAAAAAAAAAACTGAACCTGTATTAAAACCTATATAGTTTTTTCACTAAAAGTTAAATGTCAGTCAAGAAAAAAACAAATACTCCATTGTGTATAAATGCCACATTTATACACAAAAAAATGCACTAAAAAATGACAAAATCATGGCATTTGCAGGGAAATGGATGGCACTAGAGCAGATTATGCTAAGTGAAGCTAGCCAATCCCTAAAAAACAAATGCCAAATGTCTTCTTTGATATAAGGAGGGCAACTAAGAACAGAGCAGGGAGGAAGAGCATGAGAAGAAGATTAACATTAAACTGGGATGAGAGGTGGAAGGGAAAGGGAGAGAGAAGGGAAATTGCATGGAAATGGAAGGAGACCCTCATTGTTATACAAAATTACATATAAGAGGAGGTGAGGGGAAAGGGAAAAAAAAAAAACAAGGGAGAGAAATGAATTACAGTAGATGGGGTAGAGAGAGAAGATAGGAGGGGAGGGGAGGGGAGGGGGGATAGTAGAGGATAGGAAAGGCAACAGAATACAACAGTCACTAGTATGGCAATATGTAAAAACGTGGATGTGTAACCGATGTGAATCTGCAATATGTACATGGGGTAAAAATGGGAGTTCATAATCTGCTTGAATCAAATGTATGAAACATGATATGTCAACAGCTTTGTAATATTTTGAACAACTAATAATAATAATAAAAAAAGAAAAAAACAAGCCAAAATATGAATTCAGAATTCAGAAGTTAATTTCTATTTTATGCAAGTTTTGATAAGATTACATTTAGAAATATTTTGTCCAGTAGAAGCTGTTCTTACCACCATATGCTGCGGTTTGTGACTGTGTTAAAAGAAGATCAAGATTGTACAATATTTTTAGATGAGCACACTAGTTGAGACTTAACATCTAAATAATCGAAAACTTTCAAGATATTTTAGGTTGGCTACAAAGCTAAAGAGGATGTAAGCAATCTGAGGAGAAAAAAATAGCTGGCAGATGATAAATACAATAAAATGTTACATTTAGGATGAAATCCAAAAAATTTAAGTAAAACAACTTCATACTTACATACTCCATCATATTGCTAGTTTCGCATTTCCTTTTAGTCAACTTCCAGTGCAAAGCAAGCTAAGAAAGTACAGTTTTGTTAAGAATTTTATATTAACTTAAACTAATTACAATTACAACCTATACATCTGAGTTAAGTCACAGCAAATAATATAGGCATAAGATACGAAACAGCACTTAAAATACCTTATAAAACGATCTACTAAATAGTTGAGTATTAGTTCTCTAATCCTTTCATGGCTAGAAAAATCCCCATTTATTACTTTTTTCAATTTAATAATTAAAATGAATAAATGAGGCACCCATTTGCTTAGCATTTCTTACCTTGTGATATAATCTGTTATTTTCCCACTCTAATAACTTCTGAATTGATCTTCTGGTCTGAGGAAAAGGATAAAGACTTTGTTACAAGATGAACTGCAGAACTTTGTTTACTCTGTGTATCTATAGTTTCCTGTTTACTTGTAAATTCCCATTTATTTCTCCTTTCTTGGTTTTCTATTATAAATCAGAAAAAAATGCAATGTAACTGATAGCAACCACCAAGTTAAAGTTAAGTAAAAGAAGAGGCAAACAAATGGAAAACGTCCTACTTTGAAAATAATTAAACAAAATAAATTTAAATAAATGTTATGTTACATTATGAAAGGGATGTTGCAAATATAATAAATTCAGAGGGCTCATTTACAGTTGGTTAGATCAGCAACAATGCCAGCTGGAATATATCTTGGGGTCATTACACTTGACAGAATCCAGACAAAATCAGGATACAAAATAAAGAAATTGAATTAGTAATTAAAAATCTTTCCACAAAGAAAAAAAAAAAAAACAGGACCAGATGGCTTCAATGATAAATCTACCAAACATTTTAAAAACATCAATCCTTCACATATTTTCCAAAAAATGGAGGGAACACTTCCCCCAACTCTTCGTCTAAGGACTGATACCAAAGCTAGACAAAGACACCACAAATGCATAAAGAAAACAAAAGAGGAGTATCCTTCATTAATATAAACACAAAATTCTCAACAATACTAGATTGAATCATGTGTAAATCGAATCCATCCAAGGAATACAAAAATAACATAATATATTACATGAACAAAAGACAAAAAACATGTGATTGTCTTAGTAGATTTAGAAGAAGCACAGACAAAATCCAACATCCATTAATTATAAAAACCCTGGAACCTGATGCAGTGATGCTTGCCTGTATTCCCAACAACTGGGGAGGCTTAAGCAGGAGGATCACAAATTTGAGGTCAGCCTCAGCAACTTAGTGAGGTCCTAAGCAACCTTGTCTCAAAATAAAAAATGAAAAAAAGTCTGGGGGGTATAGCTCCGAGGTCAAGTGTCCATGGGTCCAAACCCAAGTACAAACAAACAAACAAACAGGGCTGAGGATGTGGCTAGGTGGTTAATCACCTCTAGGTTCAATTCCTAATATCAAAAACTCTGAAAAATTAGGACTAGAGGGGAACTTCCTTGGCCTCATAAAGAACAGCTATGGAAAACCTACAGCTACCATCATACTTTATGGAGACAAACTAAATGTTTTCCCCCTAAGACTGGGAACAAGACAAGGATGTTTTCTCCCACCACTTTTTTTTCAATACCATATTGAAAGTTGTAACCAGAATAACAAACAAAAGGTATCCAGATTGGAAAAGAAAAAGAAAAACTGTCTTCATTAACAGACAAATGATTCTGTATGTAGAAAACCCCAAGGAAACCACTAAAACACTACTAGAACTATATGTGGTTTAGCAAGTTTGCAGAATAAAAGATTGTGGTAAGCAGAATTCTGGCTTCTATGATCTTGAACCCCTAGCATTTCACCTGTGAATATTATGTTACATTACAAAAGGGATGCTGAAGATGTAATTAAAGTTACTGGTCAATTGGTTTTCAAATAGGAAGATTATGCGGGGTGTGCCTGTAATCCCAGTGGTTCAGGAGGTTGAGGCAGGAGGATCGCAATTTCAAAGGCAGCCTCAGCAATAGCAAGGTGCTAAGCAACTCAGTGAGACCCTGTCTCTAAAAAAAAAAAAAAAAAAAAAAAAAAAAATAGGGCTGAGGATGTGGC